TGGAAGCATGCTCACTAGATGTCACACCTACAGACTGGAGGCATCCAATAATAGAACATTTGAGGAATCCCAGTTCTAAAACATCAAGGAGAACAAGGATGCAAGCTTTAAACTATGTGCTACTCGGGGATGTTCTGTATTGTAGGGGGCAGGATGAATTATTGTTGCGCTACCTCGGTCTTGATGAAAGTTGCCATGTGATGTCAGATGTTCATAATGGTATTTGCGGTGCTCATCAGGCAGGGATTAAGATGAGATGGCTAATTCGAAGGCGTGGTTTCTTTTGGCCATCTATTCTTAAGGATTGCATCAATTATGTGAAGGGCTGCAGAGCTTGTCAGCTGCATGGTCCTTTGCAGCGAGTGCCAGCTTCTGAGTTACATCTTATTGTCAAGCCATGGCCTTTTCGTGGCTGGGCAATTGATTTGATTGGGAAAATTTATCCACCTTCTTCTAAAGGTCATTCTTTCATAATAGTTGCTACAGACTACTTTACTAAGTGGGTGGAGGCAAGGCCTATGAAGAAAGTTGAGCAAGGAGATGTCATCAAGTTCATAAAAGAGGATCTGATCCACAGGTTTGGTCTTCCAGAGACTATCACTTTTGATCAAGGTACTGCTTTTGTTGGATCTCAAGTAGAGGCCTTTGCAAAAGACATGGGATTTCATTTGCTTAATTCAACTCCGCATTATGCACAAGCAAATGGTCAAGCAGAGGCATCTAATAAGATTATCATCAACATCTTGAAGAAAATGGTTGATGATAATCCCAGGAGATGGCATGAGCTTCTTTCAGATACTCTCTGGGCATATAGAACCTCACAACGGAGTTCAACTAAGGTGACTCCATTCTCACTTACTTATGGTCATGATGCTGTCTTGCCTATGGAATTCACGGCAAGGTCTCTGCGGATTGCAATTCAAAATGGCTTGAATTCTGGGGAATACAATGAGGCCATGATCATGGAGTTGGAAGACCTTGAGGAAGCAAGGCTGACAGCATTGGATGTGATGAAGGCCCAAAAGCTTAAAGCGGCACGAGCTTACAACAAAAGGGTTAAGCAAAAGAATCTAGCCGAAGGAAGCTTGGTTTGGAAGGCTGTGCTGCCACTTGGTAAGAAGGATCCTAGATATGGTAAATGGTCTCCTAATTGGGAAGGACCATTCGAAATTCATAAAGTTCTTAAAGGAGGTGCTTATTGGTTAAAATATTTGAATGGGGAGTTGCATCCGCGCAAGATCAATGGCATCTACTTGAAACCATATTATCCGACTGTGTGGGAGGCAAGGGATAGTTCTGCCTCCACGTCTGCATGATCCAGGTTTGCAGACATTTGTATATTATTTGATTCAAGTTGTTTTTCTTTCAATAAGGACACGTAGAGTTTTGGCTTGAACCATGGAAGCATACATAAGACTTGGTGCTGCCAAGGAGGCATGGCATGTTCTTAAATTTGTGTTTTAGAGCGGCTTTGTTTGCAAAGCCGTGGGCAGCATGAATAAAGCAAGTGAATAAATTCATGTTTATCATTAGAAGAAGAAAAATAAAAAGAAGTCTGGAAACAAATGTTCAAGCGGCTTAATGGCCGTGACAAGGATGAATGATGTTTAAAAAAAAAAAAAGAAAACTTAACAAAGGTTTTGCATCCAGGTAGCCCACTCATCTCTCATTTGCTACAGTGTGTTGTTGGCTTCCTTTGCTTTCTCCTCCTGTTGTGTAGCCTCACTCTTTGCAGCCAAAGCTTCACGTTCTCCTTCTTGGAGCTCAACTAGTAATTTACTTCTTTCTGCTTTAAAGGATTTGAGGCTTCCTCCTTGCTATAACTCTTGGGCAAGAAATTGGCTGGAATGGCATGATAGAGACGATGCGAAAACTAAAAAGACAGAAAGAGAGAAATGGCTGCAAATCTGTGATGATGGTTATCGGAGGAGTGGCTGTGTTTTATAATGAATTGCAGTCGATCATATTTCTAAGTTGTAAGTGGTGAAGAATTGCAATTGCGTCACAGAAGTTGCAGTTGGCCATCGCTTTTGATTCCAAAACGGAGAAGAAATGTAAACAACAAAAGGAGACAAGGGTACAAAGAAGTTGAGTACTGTCACTAAGGTCCTAAATTTTTGACACTTACTCCCGTAAAGCCAAAAATTGGGGGGCAATGTTTACACCTAATTTTACAACAAATGGAGTGCTGCCACGTGTCACCCATGATGGCAGATATTTTATTAGTTGGTGTGAATTTCTTCAAATGAGATTGAGTGGTTATTTCCCCAACGGCAGCAAAACTGTTCTTTTGTTGCGAGCTTTCAGGAGGATAATCGCAACACCAACAAATTAATCAATTTGTTGCAGATATTATGCTACCGTTAGTCTTTTAGGATGCTGCCGTAGATCTCTACCATGCTGCCAAGGTGCTATAAATACCTAAGGATAAGATCAAGCAAGGGATCGACATCTCACACAACAGACTCGGCACAACTTCTCTTTATACTCAGATTCATCTTAGTTTCAAGCCCTTTAATTTAATTTTAGCTCTACGCTTCAACCTAGATTAGTTTAG